TTTTTTTTTTTTTTTTTTTTGCTGTCCTGAATCAGACCCTCACTGCTAAAAACTAATGGATAGTCATTTCACTGTGCGGACATTTTTGGCCCATGCTAAGAGTGGAATTAAGCTAGTGTAGACTAAAAAAGCTGACAGATGTGTATATATACCCCTGTATAACTTACTCTGATGTGTATGCCAGTGTAAATTATATTGGGATCAGAAATAGACAGATGTATAGCTATCCCAAGGTAGCTTATGTGTTTGGCTATTCTATTATCTTTCTGCTAAATGACAGCTGAACCATTGATTAGTAGACTTTTTTTTTTAGCAATAGTTAGTACAGCATAGATAAAGTTATTCTAGGTGGGGTTTCTGTGCATCAGCTATATTAGTAGTGGTGTTGGCATTACTATTATTAATATGCCAATGTAATCTCAATTACACAATGTAAATCCTCAGTCTTTGACTCCCCTCTGATTTGTCTGCACTGCCTCTACACTGAGCCCAGGGCTTTGTCAAGAAGCATATTCTGCCTGCTCAGTGAACAACACCAATGCCCCAAAGTTAGCCATGTGAGAGCATCTTTGAGGGTGCACCCCAGCGCTGTGTGCTCTCAGGTATGCTTTGTGGTGTGCACTTAAAGCCACTCTAAACTATGTGACCTGATCCCAGGGTTTGGAACATATCTGAGCAGGACATGTTCCTCACCTTAGAGGTGGTTCTGCACTTGATGTGGTCAGTGTCCCCATGGGAATTAATGCAGAGTACTTGTACACTCTGCAGAATGAGCTAGGAGTGAATTCAGTCCTTTTGCTGTGCAGATTAGCCATGGTGGAGAACAAGAAGCTGTTTGGCAAAAGTGCAATCAAGGAAAAGCTGCCAGTGTTTGGTAAAACCCTTAATTGTGCTTTAACAACCTATTTATAGCTTATAATCTTGCCCTAATTCTAAGAATTGCAATCATGCTAAATACAAATGGCAAAATTGCCAGGTTTCCAGCCAGTCTTTCCTTTCCTCATTGAAGGTTCAGCATCTCCAGCCTGTTTTCCCACAGTAGAGTGCTTAATGATTCCTATTAGTAGTGCTGGGCAGCAACAGAAGCAGTCTCCTAATACCAGTGATCCACCTGGGGATTACACGTTCTGGTGCTTATGTGACTTTTTGAATGCCCTTCATAAGCTTTGGAATCCAAATCTTTTCTATCAAGTATAATAATAATTTTTAAGATAGTTGTGGTCACTTGAGAGTAGAACTTTTTAAAAGCTTTAAAATTCTACCTGCTTAGTTTTGGTCTTTAGTTGGTAGGCTGCAGTAGAACATGGCCCCTTTCATTAACCCCTTTGGTGGACATGTGCCAAAGGAGAATGGCACAGATTTGGAAAGACTGCTCAGCTGCTGCACGTGAGCCCTGAACTGTGTTTATGGGTAGGCCTCCAAAATTGAGCATTCACCTCTTTTACAGGATGTTTTACAAAAATGTAAGGAACTAAGCTGAGTATTTAAAATAAAACCAAAATGATAGGTGAAGGGTAAATCTCACTAAATTTATAGTCATTTTACCATAGGTTAGATTTGGGGTTTGGTCAGTCATTTGTTTAAACAAATAACTTGAGCAATAAACTCTTAGAGCAGGAAGTTTAGATTTACTTTACCGTAACTTTTGTGTTTAGAATGGATATTGTACCTTATTCTCTGTAATACTTTAAATTTCTATTTGCTAAGATGGGGAAGGAGAGCATCCAGAGTGGGCAGGGTTGCTTCTGGAATGGAGAGCCTCTCAGAATAAACTATGACCGTTCTTTACAGAAAATGTCATGGGTATTTACTCTTTTGTCCGCACGGACACCATGAATGTGGTGAATCTGTGGCTTGACACTCTGGGGTACTACTGACAAAGTATTATTACATGCATTGAGTAAACCATGGTCCACTTCAAAACTTACTCATGTGTAAAAAGAAAATAGGAACCTTTTTGTCTCCTACCTTTAAAAAAACAAAGCAAAACAATGTATGGGTGGAAGAGGACTTAGGCAGTTCTCCATAAAGAATATCTGCTTGCTAGTCAGAGCTATTTATACACTCGCTGTGTGGACTTGGTGTTTATAAAACTCTTCACCTGAGGAGCTTATGTTCTAACTAGATTGGCAGCAAAGAACCTTTATCTTCACATGAGATTTAGGTGGGATGGTAGTGTTTTGAAGACCAGGGTTAATGTGTTTGCACTTCATGGAGGGGGGAGAGGTGCATTTTTGAAAGAGGGATTTGACAGGTGGGAGTAACTGCTTTGCACATTAGAATAGGGAGAGGTGTCTGAGTATGAAGCCAGTGTGAACAAAAGGTGCAAAGGAGATTTGAAAGGAAGTGAGTGATGTTTAGTTTTACTGGTGGACTGAAGCTGAGATTTGTTTACTTTGCAATAGCAAAAGAGACCCACCATTCCCCCCTCCTTTTCCCACCCTGCTCCCCATCCCCCCCACCTATCACTTTAGATCTTCTTGTAAAGCTTATCCTGCCTTTTCTCCCTAAGAATGCCAGCCCATTCCTTGCCCACCTATTAATCCATTTCTTTCTTAAGAATATTTGTGAGTTCTGTGCTGCCTATGCGCAGGCAGGAGATTTCTTATCAGATTCTGTATAAACACTACCTTACCTAGCCCTTCTCCAGATATTTCCTTTTGATGCCTTCTGTGCCATTGTCCCTGCTGAATGCCACAGTCTGATAATGATTACTCCAATGCTTAGCAGAGTGCTGTTTATTATGCAAAACATGCCCATTGCTTCATCCTCCTTGCTCCTTCATTTGCCTTTCATACTCCTGTTGCCTCACCCTACTTCTTGATTAAATTGGCCAGGCCATGTCTATTTGCACAATGCCCAGCATTATGGGGTCCTATTCCTTGATGGGAACACTAGACTAGCTGTAATGCAAATAAGCTACAGACATTAAGTAGTCAGGGTTTACCTCCCCATTGCTGTTTTTCAGCCCTTTGAGTTTTGGAGAAATGAACCTCACAGCTTGCATTTTGAGTGTGGGGATGTGCACATCTTCAAAACAAAACGGTGTAAAATGGAGAGCCTAAAACTAACTTCCTGGGTGAGTTTGGTGTGCTCTCGTGTAGATGTTACCCCAAACAAGCCTTCTAAGTTAAATCTCCAGACTTGATTTCTTGAGGACAAAAATCAGCAAACCCAACTGAAGACTGCAGCTGTGTCCATTTTTTAAAGCAATTTTTCTTCCTAGTCAGTCTGTTCCAGACTGGCCTCTTGTTGCCTGAATACTGGAGATCAGTCTTCAGAATTATCCATCAGAGCTGGTTTCTAGGAAGGACCAGCCCATCACCTGCTATAATTTATCTGAATATTCAGTCTCTATTGGGCAATATAAATGTAGCCAGACCACTCCAGAGTATTGCTCTCGTCCACATTGACAGCTTTTCTGCACTGTTTCTTACACAGTATAACACTGCAGGTGTCACAGTTTGTTCTTTTGTCACCTCACTACAGGATGGTGATTTCTCCTCCAGGGGATGGCATAAACTCTTAGCCTGTGGGATGCATGTGGTATTCTATAGTTTGATGCTAAGACAAATACTTAAAACTGCAATACAGGCTGCATTCTTCTCTGTTGCTGCCAGTCGGGCCACCAGCTGTTGAAAATCTGTGTAAATGTGCTAATAATAGCAATGACCTAGTGAAGATGATTGTTATGTCCTATTCCAATTCTCAGAGGAGAACCCAATTCAAACTGCAGCACAAAAATGGTAAGCTTTCAAATATACAGAACTATAATCCCCTGGAGCTGTCTAGTTCCTTTTCAGACAGTTGCTCATTTGGGAGTCCTGATTAGGTACTTTATAAGGAAATCCAGTTCTCTGAGGCAAATTCAAAATGGAGAGAGGTTTTTATGCTTCGTCCTTGTTTTGGTGGTTTTATTATTATTATTTTTTATTATTATTTTTGTATGCATGTATGCGTGTCACTTTTCAAGCTGAACTTCATAATGCTATACGTTGCTATATGCACACAGTCTCAAATAATTCTGCTGGGAAATAAGTCTCTTTACAAAGCAAATACAGAAAGAGGCGGTTAGCTATGTTAGGCTGAAGAGAGGCCAGGTGTCTTATAAGGTCTGTAAGACTAACTCTATAAGGTACCACCCTGCTTGCCTTCGGTAAAGCAAACATAGGTAGTGTTGTTCAACAAGTTTCCAATATGCATTGGTCCGTGATGATAATTTTAGACCCAAAGACAAAGCCCTAAAGGATTCTCTTACTTCAGATTCTGTTAAGTGATGATAGATGCAAGGTAAGTGTTAGGGACATTAGTTTGGTTTTAGTGCTTGTGGGAAGAGAAGACATGCAACTGTAACAACCAAATTGTATTGTGAGGCCATCACTCAGCACTGTTGATGTTGCAAAATCATCTGGGAAGACCCCATGGCGAGGTGATTGTTGAACCAGTGTCACACCTGAGTGAACAAGGCATGTAAGAGGCAGAGCTCTTTGCTAAAATGCAGACTTTATTTTTCAGTGGGAAGAAAACATCTTGTCCCTAAAGGTCTTGCATATAAAAACTTTGATGAATATTGAGGCAGGCAGACAGTGCTCCAGGGCATGTGGTATCTCAGCTAAATGGTATTCTCATGCATAGTGA